TATTAGCTAGGAGTAGCTCCAAACCACTATGGCCAATATTCCAGCAAAGAGAACAGGAGGTTGCACAGCAAATGCAGCAACTGCAAGAAGAAGTTCTAGGAAAGCAAAATACACTACACGAATCGAGGATCTTGCTAGAGTCCTTAAAGGAAGAGGCTCTCAAAAAGGATGAAGCAATGAACCTAATGGAACACAAAATCAATGTGGGTACAATGAGTTTTGCACACTTCGTTTTGCAAAGTTATTAGGTTACTGCCAGTTATTAGGTTGATGCCAGTTCTTAGGTTGATGCACAACCGATGCATGTTACTAATTCTTAAGCGACAGAAGTATAAATATCTACAGAACATATCATTAGAGCAAAGCAAGCTCTACAAGATGGTGGTGTTCAAGCAAGAAGTTTGGTACACACAGAGTTATAAAGAAAAATCCAAATTTTTCGAATGCCCAAAAATTTGACCTCCGTTCAGAAAAATCCTACAAACTTCTAACTTGCACACAAAACTTTCTTGTCGCATCAGCTATGCATATGTACACTTGCTATATTTATCCCATGACTAAAAGCTGAGAAATTAAAATTCTTCCAACTTAGCAAAATCCGTGCTAGATTGTCAAGACATGGGCTATTCCGTACCAAAAGCCTTTGAGAGTATAAACATAAGATTTCAACCTTTCTCGCGCTTCAGTTGTCCAAAATATAAAATTCAACATAAAATACCAAAAAAGACGACATCCTAGAACTTCGGCGTATTTTTGTTTTTCAATTTTTACTTACGAATAAAATACGGCAAGTGCATGTATGGGTATCTTACGTGTATAGTATATGCTTGACCAAGTTTGTACGCCGCGTCTTTCTTGACGGAATTCTGATTTTCATTTTTTCCGCAAATTTCCTGTAGATTGAACCTTTTGTGGTTGTTCAAAGACTATCTTGTCTTTCTCTGCTTTATCGAATATTGTATTTCGCACATTTTTATGCCTTCTCTGCCGCTTCAGATAAGGAACATACATTAATTATGCATCAATCTAATACATAATGTTGAGTTAATATCGCAACGAAGGTTTCTGTACCGTGCATTGAACATGAAGCTTATTTAGGAGCAAGAGAGTTTGCTAAGCGACAGAGAACAACAACTGGAAGAACAGCAGGTAGTGATCAACACTCTACAGGAAAAGCTAAAGGCGAGTACGAGTCAGCAAGAAGAACAAGTGCAAGCATCTGAGGTAGCTACTAGTGCGGTTGCTGATACGGAAGAGGAGGAAGACGTGGAAGAAGAAGACGACGAGAGGTAGTCTGAAATTTTCAGAGGAGCTGCAACGATGTGAACGACACTTATTTAGAACAGAAACTTCCTGCATGGAAATACAAACAGATCCTGTAAAATCGCCATCCCCTGTACAGATTGTGGACTTGGCCAGGGAAAAAGAGCTGAAGTCAAGGATAGCCGAATTAGAACATGCCTTAGAGGTTCGAGAAGAACGCTGACGCTGTCTTACGAAATGAATTTTTGCTTGCAGATGAAGAACGATCTCATAGAGAAATTGCATGAACAGCTACCGGATAAGTCCGGCGAAGATATATCGATGAAAAAGAAGGACAGATCAGTATGTTTCGGGATATAAGCTGTGACATCTGCTCATCGTTAGTATTCAGCAAAGCATAACGGGCGGTGGCGTTTTCCAAAACTTCGTGAGTCAAATGAAGGACAAGCGTGATGAAGCCAATGAAAGAAGTAAAAAGAAAGAGGTGGAAAGGAAAGCAGAAAAAGCTGCTAAGGATGCTGCTCGAGAGTAAGTGAGTTGAGTCGTGGGTAACGAACACTGAACACTAACTCAGTGACAGTGGTAACTCCTTGGTGAGTATCCATTTTGCAGGCTTATCAAAGAGAGATCACCAATGCGCTCGAAGTCACCGTCGTTGCTGACACGCCTTCGCGATCGCAGTCCTGTAAAGACACGATCACCTGTGGATAATTTAGAAACAACACCATCGTCTTCAAGCAGGTACGTGAAGGAGAAATCTTTTTCAAAGTTATTTTCTGTTATTCAGTAAACAAATGTGAGCGCGCTAGCCACCTCACGGGTGAGATATTTGAGGAGCGTGGTCGCAGTGCGAGTCCTTTTCCGATGATCTCGTAATCGCCTCAAACTTCTTTCTTTTTTTCCATGGATACAGTGAAGATATCGTTTGTACAGAACACCTTGTAAGGAATGCAGAAGATGAGAAGGACAATATGGGTCGCTCGTTTTTCAAATATCGGCTGTCCAAACTGTGGGCATGTTTTGGTTTTCGTCTGCAGCTTACCGCATTCAATCAAAAACCGTCTTTTCCCAGTTGCTAGTAGTGCGAAATGATAGGAATTAATTAAGCAACAGATAGTTTTTCTTGGATACCTAACTAAGACTAATATCTTCGTTGCAAGTGTTTACCGCAGAGGAAGAGATACCTTCATTGAGGTGGCGAAGATTTTCGCACAGGTATTGGTTGCTTTGAATTAACCAAAAGTAGAGTTTTTCACTCCACATGCTAAGGTTGTATAGCTGAGCAGGTTTCCAGCAAGAAGACGCCAAGAGTGGGAAATGTCACATACCCTGAAGT